ATGATTCAAATAAATGCGTTTTTCAAGCAAAAAAAACGGACCGAATTAAGTTGTACACCCAAAAAGCTGAGAGAAGTTTTATGCAATTAAAGCCTATCAAACCATTTTTGCTAAACGCAGTACCTCAGAAATTTCTTGGGAAAACTTCTATGAACGCAGATTCACGGTTGCCAGATTGTTTCATGTTGCCAAAGAGTAAAAGACTTCGATGACTATTTGTTTTCTACGCATAAACACCGGGCATATGGTCAGAATGTCTATAGAAGACAGGTAATTAAAAAATCAGCAGCAGAATGTTTAGAGATGCACAATGGTGACAAATTTGATTTACAAGCTGCCGCCTTAAAACGCAAATATGCGAAAATGTGGTGAATGCGGATTGACAGCCAGTGCTATTCCTAGTTTGTCATGTGTCAAATAAAAAATCAATTACAATTTCTTACCTTCCATTTATGGCGTCCAAAACGTTAAAGATATCGTCATCCACATAGTGGTATGGAACACTAACGGCCACTCCTCTCTCACCCGCAGCATATTGTAACTCAGTATCTAAAGCTTATTGTTGCGCTTTATCTGAATGTAAGAAAAGTTACATAAACTTGTACGCTTCAAACAAATAGTGAGATCATATTTTGCGGATTGTGCCACGCCTTCATTTAACTAACTCATTCTTCCATGCACGTCTGAACTTTGTAACGAAGTGCTTGTCGGTTGGCTTCTTTAACTACTGTTTAGATTCTGTAACTCACCATTAAATCCAACAACGACAATTCGTTTTATATTAGAGTATGGGTCCAAAATTGGCAGAGGTTTTGTATCTTGCCTCAATAAACATTATTAAGGAAGGACTGCTTGCGGTATTGAATAATGGTAAAACAACTTACGGTGCCGCAAATAATACCAAGCAGTTTGCTTGATTTTCCTCAAATTTCAGCGAATTAATGATTTTGATGGCACTAAATACATACTTCTACACCTCCGCATAAAAATTGATAGAATATACCTACTCTGAAGTGGACAGAGGCTTGTCTTTGTCATAGAACCTCAAAGCTCTTATTTCTTGCAGAAGTTCCTCGTAGTCCGCGAACATTCTGTCAAGATTTGGAGATTCAGGATATTTTGTGTATCCATATGCCCACAATCCGGCTTTAGTTGAGTTTTCTCCAAGAAAATCGTACACAATGATCGTCATTAATTCTAATTCCTAAATGAAGTAAATATCAAACCGTATACTGCAAACTCCATCTACAATACACAAGTAGTAGTCGTTGCCCATTATTCAGATTTGGGTTAGGCCTAGAAATAGAAAATGCCAAGAGTTTTTTGAATTGGTCATGTTTGTCATGATACAAGCTTATTGAAAGAAATGCCAATTTGTGGCGCCTGAGAGTTCGGGTGTGTCTTTTGCGCCTTTTCTCTCTGTTTGTCATAGTAATTGCTGGCGTTTATAACAACTGCTCATAAAGTCTCAACAAAGTGCAAATACTCGAGTGTTTGTGGGTGCAAAGCTCAATGTTGATAGCAGAAAAGGCCCACGGACATATTTATGATAAAATTGCAAAAATGCATCTGTCTGTTCCGCACCGACGGAAGTGGACCAAATACGCTGTTTTGAGGGTTTCGTTCAACAGCATCTGTGAGCATTCGCAAACATTGAATTGCCTGCTTTTCTTCAATTTCTTCACGACCTTTTTGAAACATTTTGTTGGCATATTATGGGAATAATGTGCTAACCATTCATGGTTTATCGGTTAGATAAAGTTGAATTCT